TACCTGAGGAAATGTCTCCCATAGACATATCCCAAGTGGCTCCAGAGGCATGTCAACAAAGACACTAGAAGATTAAAAATATTTCGATCCAAAATCGTATTTTGAAACATCCGAATAGTGTTTTCCTGTATACTGAATTTGAAATGATTCCAATCTGTCATATGATTGATGATAGCTAAATTGATGGCGAAATTTTATCGTTTCTTTTAGTGGCTTGCCAATTAGAGTGAGGTCTATAATTCGATAGAGTTTAGTTTTTGACATATGTAGTCCAAAAACTATATGAAGCCAATTAAACCAATGGATCTTTTCGAAACCACTGACTATATATTAGGTAATATTCGTAGTTAAAACACAAATCTAAATTTTTATTTGATTGGACAGATTTCAATTTTTGACATTTGTAGTTCTAAAACTTGTGTATATTTAATAAAAGTAATAGAAGTTTCCAAAAAGTACTGTTGATCGATATTTTTTAACATCCAAAACATCCAAAATTCATATGATTGAATTATAATCATGTAATATAATTTAAATAAATTAATTATAATTTATAGCATAATATAATTTAATTATAATTTATAATGTAATGTATTATATTATAAAATTTTTTAAATTTATTTATCGACTTTTCTTTTTGTAATGGTTTATGTATATTTTTTAATCCGGTTATAGGTCCGGATTCTAATTCAATGTTTGATACTTTTTTTTTATATTTCAACTCTCCTGGAGAGTCTTCATCAGATTTACGATACAACATAAATTAATATTACTAAAACTATATCTACGTCATCATCTTTATTCTGTCGTCCATATTGCAGTGTTTATAGCATGCAATATCCCCCCTATAGCCGGATTAAAAAATATATAAAAATCATTATATTATATTATATATAATATCTTGTCTTGATATCTCATTTAAATTATGTTTAACATATTTCTTTACAAAAAACCTTGTCTTTTTTACATGCTCTATTATATATTTTTTTATGTGTATTTTTTTTTTAAGAAATGGGCGTATTTTGACACTAGAATACACACGTGCGGTTTTCGATCAGCTGTTTTTCGATTCTGACATTTTACCAGATTTTTTGAAGTATTTTAATTCACCCCCAAAGACACACCACTTCAATTCCGGCAATGGGAGGTTAATATCAATGAAACGCTACCCTTCAACCACAGTCAATGATGTCCCAGTAGTTTTTGATACTGCGCAGACTCCACAAATGTCAAAAAATATTACTACAACCAAACAAAAGACGTAAAGACACCAATATTAAGTTATAAAATAAATTTACTTAGAATAAATAAAAAATAATAAATAAATTAAAATAATTACGAAGCTAATTTTTTAAACTAATTTTTGCATGAATAAATTTATTGTAGTTTAGTGTAAATAAATTATGTGAAGCTGTGATTATTAAATATTAAAACAAAATGTTGAATTTCGATGTTGTTGTTCTTGTTAGCGAAATAATAAAATTTAATTAAAAGCCTATTTTGTGTAAGGAAGTACGTCGGTCAAAGGTTATACATAGGCGAAAGGCAAAAGCAGCGGGGGCAAATGAGGTAAATTTGCACAACTAATTAATAAATAAAAAACTAAATAAATTAAAAATGTATATATAAAAAAACAATCCGTAAAGCAAAAGTAACAAAACAAAAACAATAAAAACAACAACTACAACACGGGCACTCAATAGCTCAGATACGCTTGATTTTGTTTTCTTAAAGAAACGGAAGGAAGTCCATAGCTAACGAATCATATGACCTTATCCACAAGATAATTTCAAATTCTGAAACCAGAAACTCTTTGAAGAACACATTTGCGCCAATTTTATAAAAAAATATACACAAATTTTTAAATATATATACAGTATATATGTGAGTATTTATATACATTTATATAGCACCGCCATATATATATTACTTTTTAGCATTTGCATATAAAAATTAAAATTAAAAAAATTAAAAATATTGATTTTGCAAAAAAAAGCGAATTAGAAAAAAACAAGAAAAAACACAAAAACCACAACAACAATCGACCTCTATGGTAGAACAGAGTTGGTTGACCCCAGCGCTTATGGACCTGTGTACCAATCAAGATAACGTCACTAAACTAAGTTCTTCAACATTCAAGACTTGTAAGTGAAGCTGAGCGCTTCGTAGAAGTTTGAAAAAGTACCAAACAATAAAAGTCGATTTAGATGACTTGTAGCTAAAAATAATAAATATAAAAAAAAATAGATAAATTCAAAATAAAATAAAGCAATAAAAAATATAATAATAATAATAAAAGCATCTAAGCACATAAGCAGTTAACCGAGACGAAACTTTTCAAGTAATACCAAAAATAACGCCGTGACAGCAGCAGACGGGCAGCGTCTGCAAGATTTGCAAGATTTTACTTATTTCATCGGCGAATCTGCATATTCAGCTCGTCTTGTTTTATTTTGGGCAATAAGTTTGTTTTTAAAAATAATATCAATTTTTTTATTTTTAAAAAACGTACAAGATTCACGAAAGTAACTTGAAATCTTTAAATGAAGATCGTACGTCATCAGTTTTCTCGATTGTATATCTGCATTCATGGGTTGAGGCTTGGGACTTGACAGTTGCTAAATTTTTTACTGAAGTGTTAAATTCTTTTAACAAATTATTTTTTTTAATTTATTAAGCAAAAAAAAAAAACAATTAAGTTTTTGCATAAATGTTAATAAATGTTGTTAACCATATTGGTATTTCACAAAATATATATACATAAATACCTATATATATATTTGTCAACAATTGAAAACAAATTGTCACGTAGATATTTGATGGAAGAGTCAACCATTGAGGCCATTGAACAGAAACAAGAAATCATTAATACCTATTTCTGTATTATTCGAAGATATTTGAGAAATGATGAACTCGCTCCCGATCATTTGTTTACGGATACATCCTTCTAAATTAAACTTTGCATCAGTTTTAAAAATCTTGCTAAAGGCTGATCTTTAATATTTTCTAGCATATATGGAGTGATATAAAATCCTTCTATAAACTAAGACTTAACAGAAAATTTTAAAATCCTGTAAATCATTGAACTTCGTTGTTGTTATAATTAACTTATACATAGTTATATATCATCCGTTTGCTGCTAGTATTTCTTCGTGCTATGCTCTTTGGTTGGTTTAAGAAATATATCATATATATATGTGGATTCTTATATATCCTAACACATATGCAGCATACTCATACTTAGACTCAAATTCGGGTTAAAAACGAAGATAATATACCATATATGAAGATCTGTTAATTTTTTAGGTATTTGTCTTTAATACCGTGTAAATTACTTGCTTCCCATTCCAAATAATATATTTTAATCTCTTATTCTTATTATAATTATGTTCATCTTTTTAGAATTTGTTTTTTTTCTTCTTCTATATATAATTGAGTTCCCAGGAGAACATTGGGCCATAACTCTCTCTCTCTCTCCAAAGTTCACGATTTCTTGCTAAGGTTTTGTCTTTAATATCCTGGAAAATTCTTGCTACCCATTCCAATAAGATATTTATAATGAATACTCTAATTATAATTCATAACTCTGTTATGAGATTCTAGTTGAAATCAAATCGTTCTTATACCAATCTTACAAATATGATACCTACGGTATCCCAATAATAAACCATAACTTGCATAGAGTGAATTGGGTAGAACCTATACACCTGAGCTAATCTGAGACCATTTAAGCTGAAATAATAGCCCATTTTGCCACGATCGATGCTTACACAAAATCTAAATTACTACATTATAAATATAGTCATTGTAATAATGATGCTAATATCAATAATATCTAAGAAATTAATTAATTAGTGTTATTTATAACTAAATAGGTAATATTTTTTTTATTAGTTAATATTAAAACTGGTCATTTGGAATAGAAATACTCTAGGGAATTTAAGTGCTTAATTCACCCATCTTGAATATGTTAACATATCCATAAAAATGCACACACACATATACATACATAAGTTCATATGTATGCCAAGCTAATTTTATTTCCACTTCCGAATTATGTGCTAATAACATAAAAAAGCGATGCTCATGTAAACTGCATTTTTTTTACTTCCCCACGACCTTGGCAGCGCATACATCATAAAAACCAAAAAAAAGAAGAAACTAATAAAATATGAAAATAAAAAACTCAATCCTTTTTTTACATGATGCAGCAGAAATACTCTAATCAACCGACTGACCACCGATGAATGGCTTCCACGCTAAAAACAAACAAAAACAAGGAAAGCACAAGAAAATTATAGAGAAAAAAGTTTTTGCAATAAAAACTTAAAAGTAGCAGAGCAACAACAAAAAAATTTTAACAAATCGTTGAAGGTCTTCAAACGGCAAAAGAAGCAAACCACTACGAAAGTGTTTTCTTTATTTTGGTTATCAGTAACTGCTGCTTTATTATTGTTTTTGTTTTTGTTTTGCTGCTTAGTATTGCTATAGCTACATATAAAAAAAAATTGGCGCGCGCCAACTACCAACCAACATCCACTAGAAACAAAAAGTAAGAAACAAGAAACAAAAAATTTAAAACAAAACTACCAAAAACCAACAAAACTAAGATACACTAACATCACAGCCAGCAGCAAGCGGCAAGCGGCAAACGGCAACAACAATAACACGCAATACTTCAAAAACAGCAACAACAATGATAATAGAAGTAGCAGCTGCTTAACGTAAATCAGCTTCATAGCCAGACAAGCGCCTCTAAAACGAAAATAAAAGCAAATTAAAATTGATATAAAGCTTTGTGACGTCACAATTACTCGTACAACTAAGCTGGTGCGCATAGCAAAAGCAACGCAGTCAATGCATAATTATAAAGCTCAATCCAAACGGCTGTATTGCGGCAGCGCAAGCAACAAATAACAAATCGAAAGCGCAAGCGCATAAATAACCAAAAACAAAAAACTTTAAGAGAATTCACAAAACTGAGCAACGCCGAAAGAATCAACAATCACACAAGTTTCTTTCGCTCACGGGAGCGGACGTATAGCGCGCAAAACTTTGAAAGCAAAATCCAAAATTTTTATTTTCAATTAACAGAACCTCAACTCGAACGTTTGATAAAATAAAAACCAAACTCCAAGTAGAAAAAAAAACAAACAAAAATCAAGGCAATAAACCTTTTCGTTCTTACAACAAAATTCAAAATCATTTTCCGTTAAACATTGATTCCTTTTTTTTAAACTTTTGGCTCGTGTTGTTGCTGTTGTTACTGTTGTTGTTTCCGTCAAATCCGTTTGCTTTTTGTTTTGCTTTGTGGATTTGTGCTGAAGAAGTGAATTAACAGTTAATTTTATTGCTTATAAAAGTGAAAAGGTTTTCATTACAAAACTTAGAATCAAACACGCAAGAAGCGAGACAGAACGTCGTGCTTAAATTATATGTAACATTTTAGAAAAAACTAAAATAAAATAAAATAAAATAAAATAAATAAATATACAAACAAATTTTAATTTGAATTAATGAATAAATATACAGTAAATAAAATAAAACAAAATTTTATTATAAAAAATTATGTAAAGGTGTTTTTTGTTGTTGCTTTTTTTTATCCAAACTAATTTCTTCGTGTTAACATTTAACAAAAAAAAAATATCTCTTGCAGAAATTACATAAAATCAAAAGTGAAAATATTTTAAACAAAAAAATTAATTATACAAAATGGTGAAGAATAACAACGTTTTGCCTGAGGCGATGAACGGCAGTCTGCCAACAACAAACGCCACAAAGGATATACCACAGAACATGTCAAACGAAGCATCCTTCTCGAGCCGCGTCTTGAGCTGGTGGGATACGTTAACAGACTTCGCATGGTTCATTATATGTTCGATTGGTTACATATTCCAGGTGAGTCTCAAATATATAGAATTATTACATCACATTCAAAGGAACATGTGTTCTTCCAGTGTTTTTTTTTTATAATAAATCTAAAGTCAGTTACGCTCTTTCAATTCTTTTGTTGGAAGTCCAACGGTATATATATATATATACATATGTATATATATATATATATATATATATATGTATATATGATTAGAGAAGACACAAATAGGAAATGTAAAAAAATTAAATTATAATAAAATAAATTAATAGTTAAGACCGTGTGCGAGTTCAAGTAAATTGAGATAAATTAAATTGAAATTTCCTCGGGATTCCATGCAAATTAAAACCATCCTTTTAGTTTCGTAGTGCTATTGCTACCAACTTTATTGTGTTCGATCTCAAGACTAACTTATCGTTAACATTTTGGTCGGTTTTCGATCTGAAGGATCTGAAGTAACGGATCCTGATAAGATGTGTTGTTTAATACAATAAATAATATAATATATTTTACTGTTTAGGTTTAATAGATAATATTTCGTTGTTTGCTTAGGACAGACAATGATAGATACAATAGTTAATATAATGTGTTTTAGGAAACGATACTTGATAAGTGTAAATAAGTGCAGTGCAAGTTACTGCATTTAGTATTTTTCCGTTAAAAGTTTTCAAATTCATTATTTATTTATTAAACATCTTATAAAATTTTCACAATAGTACCAACTAGTTTACCTCATGTTTATGTAATTTACCCTGTTCGAAATTCTGGTAAATATCAACAATCGCTGCCATACCGACATAATTTACCATTTCACTCAATTTACTATCAATTTACTCGAACTCGCACATGCCTTAAGTTATCATTTTAAACTGTTATACAAATAAGTATTATACTCATGTATAATAAAATAATGTCGTTTTTGATTGGCAAATCAGAGATAACTTTTTTACTCCAGATTTACTTTTAGTACAGTTTTCATTTTCGATTGCTTAAGCTCTGGTAAAATGTATAACACTTGAGATCAATTTATAATGCTCTGGATATTATGCCAAATTAATTAAATTACCGTTAAATTAACAGCTGTTTCAATATAATCAACAATTAAAATTTATCTGACATTAAATTAAAAATTAATTTAAAAAAATATAACACAAAAATTAAAAGTAAATAATATAATACATCTGATATAAAATTAGTCAACTCGAGGAGATCATTCCTTTGATGACTTTCAAATATTCATTACTTCCTTAAATATCGCTAAAACAAAAAAAATCTAGAGCGGAGTGCTTTATGAACGATGTTAGGTATTTTAATGATCAATGGAATTGGGGGGATTTGGGTTAGGCTAAGGCCCCTATGCACTACGACCAGCTTGATGTAATTGCCGTGAAGTTAGTTGAACAAAACCATTTCTAATATATAGTCATAATTTAGTAATAGCAAAATAAATATAATATATTAAAATATATATTAATTAAATATATAGAAAAACCGAAAATATAATTTCGAAATTTGAATTGAAAGTATGAATTTAAATTTATGTCTATACCTATATGCATTTTTTATAATTATAATATTTTTATTTATAAGTTTATATATTAACGGATATAAAATAATGATATAATAATTTATTATGTATTATATATTTTTAAAATAGAGCTAAAAACTATAATTTACAATAACACCAGAATTCTACTTCTACCTGTATGTAATACAGAGTATTGTAATAATTTATAATATAACGAAGTTTGTAAAGTTATAAAAAATTTATATTTTTATTTATTAAATTTTTTTTTTTTGTGATTAAAAATATTATTTAATAATATTTGAGCGGGCTAATTGGTCATTTAATTAAAAACCATACTTTATTATTTATTTTTAAATAAATTATATTTTATTGAAGTATTATTTCAATATGGGTCATAGCAGACTCATCAAATGTGTATAGAAAGCTTCAACTTTATCACTTCAGCAGAGATATAGTCGTACTCTACTATAAGTGTTTTTTGAACGATTTCCGCTTTAAGATCTTCGGTGTATGTAATGTCTAGAAACGACAGAAAAATAAAAAAAATTTTATATATATATTTTTTCTTAAATTAAAAAATTACTTTTATTGTATTTTATTGTTATATGTATATTGAACTTTAAAAATATTATTACATGTAATCCAATTGCTATTCACAGTTTTTTATAAATACTTATATACGTTCATAGTAACAGTAATTATACTTTATATATACAATACACAATATCGGTAATAAATTTATTTTGATTTTATTTTAATTTGAACGTCTTAATACAAAATTACAGATAATCACAAAAATAAACCACATAAGCTACAATTAACCATTTATTGCTTAATAATGAATTAATAATTATAAATTAATTAAATTTTTATTTCTCGTATACGTATAAAAAAACAGATTATACTTTTATAACAAAATATTTTAACAAGTTAACGTTAAAGGGAATTAATTTTTCCTGAAAATCCGTGATTTTTAGAACCTGCAAGCATCAACAACCTCAAATCCTGTCTTTAAAAAGTTCTAGAAAACAGAACGGTGTCCGCTTAAAAGGCTTGCAATCAATCTGAATTCAGATTTGTGACTTACTCAAATAAGATGTTTGATTTATTCTTCTTTGACGTTGGTCTATGACTTCTTCATATGGTCTATAAACGAACGCTAGTACCGCTCTATCCGCTCTGCATAGATTTTACTTTTAGTGTTTTTATTAAATCGTACATATACAAAGGTACATATAAATTAATATGTAAAATATATTGTCAATAGTTTTTTTAAGATTTTAAGATAAAGTATGGTCAGAAATATAGTTAACAGTTTGGCCCTTTTATCTTCGCTTAAAGTCAGGATTATATATATGACCTACATAATTGAACTCTCTAAACTGAAACAAAAATCAATTTTTAATACTTTGATTTACAGGTTTGATAATACATAGATGAAATCTTTATTCTTGCATATAAAAATATAATCTATTAGGTTTTATAATCTATAATCTTATATTTCTATTCACCTCAACTAAAATTACTTCTACAACCATTTTAAAATTTATTCATTATCGAAATTTCCAAGACAGAATGAACTTAAATCTCTTCTCGGGAGCAATGCTTTTAGGTAGTTGCATCAAACACACAGCAAACATGTGTCAGTCGTTAGAGTTGTAAGATAAGTAATTATATATAGTAAAGATAGAATATTTTAATATCTGATATTCTTTGGGTTAATAACGCAAACCGTATTACATTATTACGCTATAAATATAACGTAAGTCTTTTTATAACACTAGTAATAGTCTTGTAGTCCTATTGTAACAAAATTGAGTCTTATTATAACAATAGTAGATTTTTTATAACAATAGTAAGTCTTATTAACATATAACAAAAGTAAGTGTTATTATAACAAAGTAGGTCTTCTTATAACAAAAGTAAGTGTTATTATAATAAAAGTAAGTCTTATTATAACAATAGTAAGTCTTATTATAATAGTAGTAAATTTTATTGCAACAATACATAATATATATATGTAACATATAATATGTTATAAGACTTACTATTGGCACTGAATCGTGATTTTTATAATATGACCCAGATATCAATTTCTAAAACTCCAATTGGCCAGAGAAGCTAAAATTAACAACAATTTTGGAGAAGTTTTTTAATCAATACATTATGTTTTTTTAAATTAAAGTTTTTGTTTAAGGTACTCTGGTCTTATGACTGGGGTGCAAATAATTTTAAATTCAATTCATTTTTTCACCCGACTTTCGTTGGCTTTTTTTCAACATCTTCAGGGGCATTTAAAAGTGTTTTTTATTATTTAATAATTATAATTAATTAAAAAAATTTTGTTTGCAGAATATAGTTCTAATGGTTCTAATGTTAGTTTTAAAGTCCATAAAGAGTTCGTTATGTACAGCGAAAGCACAATAGACAATACTAATCGTTTTAAAACTATTAGTGAATTTTGGTTTTTAGATTTGGTTAGAATGACAAATAGAAGAAAGTTCGCAGTTTTTTTAGGATCTCATCGATCGTCAATTATAAGGGACTATTTGATTAAGCACACTATTTTAACTGGCAACAGATTTGTGTATCTTTACTTTTTTAGGAGAAATCATTTCATGATGAAAAGAAGCACATTGTGAACATGTAAATTTTCCGAAAAGTTTGTGTCGACATCCCGAAGGACATCATTTCAAACGATCTAATCCACACAAATCACTGTTCTAATTCAAATTATTGAAAATCCCTATATCGATTCAAACGTTGCTAAGCTCTAGTACGCATTTTGTTGATATATATTTTTATTTTATTTATATAAGTAAATTTATTACAATTAAATACAATAGCATTTATAGAATTACATGAAATATTAATAGCCCTTTATTTTTAATGAATACTTTCCAATATACGAAGATAGTTCTACATCAAGATTTTTCATTAAGATTAAAAAATATTCCAACTAGTTTATAAAATTGAAATTTTTAATTACACTTGTCTTTATTAATTATTTATAAATTACATCATTTTGCATAGTAAACTTGTCTAACATCAACTTTTAATGCATAGATCTTTTCTATTTATCTCCTTTCATCCCCTTTTAATAAAATCCCCCTTACATGTCGTTTATAATTTATATTTCCACACCAGAACGTAATGAAATGAATGCAAATTTTATTAATTTTATACAAAACCCTTACTTATAGGTATAGAACATTACATAAAAAAATAATATAATTGATTTAATATCGCTCTATAGGTTCGAAGCGCTCGCTAAGCTATATTTTAACCTTGACATATACTTAGTAATAAATATCAGAGCAAATATTAAAATTCTGTCAAATGTAAGAATTTTTGTACCTTTTTTATTGTAAATAGACTTTTAGTATAAAATTTATTTTTATTTATTATTTAAATAAATATAAGCTTGTAAAGATTTATTTATTTTATACTTTCAACAATTAACACTAAGTTTTATGATATTCGAATGATTATATGATG